CCCCGCCCATAGGCCCCGCCCATAGGCGCGCGTGTACGTCCGCGGCTCGGGGCGTGGGAGTAGAGTCCGCTGGCAGCGCAGCGCGCCGGGCGTGGCGCGGCGCTTGGCTCGCTCTCGGCGGAGCCGCTGGGCGGCAGCCGGACACCACCCAGGTAAAGCCCCCCGCCCCCAACCCACCGGGCCCCGGGTCCTAGCCACCCCCGCACTCGCCGCTGCGCGGCCCCGCCACCTCCAGCCCACCAAGGCTTTGCTTCCTCTCCCCCCAGCCCCCCAACATAATTTAAAACACAGGGGATGACCCCGCGCCTGGTGCTGGTAATTGTTCCCCTTAGGGCTGGACCACGGACCGGAGAAGGGTTTATTTATTATCATTTTTTAAAACTGTCAAAATTAGCAAGCAATTAAGCTTTCAGCAAGCAATACCGGCTGGCCGCGGTGGTGCGCGCGCTCGCTCCCTCTGGGTCGCTGAGTGATCCTGTCTGACATGGCATTCCGGGAGCTCCCAGGGAAAAGCCGGCAGCCAGGCTTCCTGGAAGAGCTAGGGCAGGGTGACAGGGCGCACGGGCTGGTGTCTGTCCCCTGTCCTCCGCGTGCTCCTTCAGCCTCGGCTCCTCCATCTGTGCGATGGGTGCGCCCAGCCAGCGGTCAGTGTGAACGTCCTCCTTCGTGATGAGCTGGTCTTCTAGCCCCTTTGGGAGTCTCGGGGTAAGTTACAGGGCAGGTCTGTTTAAAGAAGGGTGACCCCCACTGGGCAGCTGCTTCAATTTAGGGCCTTCCCAAAAGGTGCCCAGGTCCACCTGCCCACACGAGCAGCGCCGATGGCTCCCGCCCTCTCTCTCACTCTCTTTCCTTTTCTCTCTTAGAACGCAGAGTGAGCCGTTTTCCTTGGCGCATAAGAAGAGAGTTTATGTCTTCGAGGGAAGCTTGCTCATATAGCCGGCTGCCTAGGGAGTGGAGGCGAGCATAGATGGCAGGACTGGCCCAAGGCAGGATGGCCCCCCTGAACAGACAGAGCCCCTCATCCCTGCAGGTCCCCAAGGGAGGGCCTTGCCTCCTCCTCCTCTTCTGCCTGCCTCTGAGGGCCGCCTGTCCACAGGGCTGCCAGTGTCCTGAGCATGCAGGAGTGGTGGCTGTGCACTGCAGTGCCACTGGCCTTCGGGAGGTCCCCAAGGACATCCCCACTGATGCCGTGCTTCTGAAGCTTGATGCCAACCAGATCACCCGCATCCCTGACGGAGCCTTCCAGCACCTGAGCCAGCTGAAGGAACTGGACTTGTCTGGGAACGCCATCGAGACCATTGGTCCAGCGACCTTCGCTGGCCTGGCTGGGGGTCTGCGGCTGCTGGACCTGTCCCACAACCGCATCCGCAGGATCCCCAAGGACGCCCTGGGCAAGCTCAGCGCTCAAGTCCGCCTGTCCCACAACCCCCTGCACTGTGAGTGTGCCCTACAAGAGGCCTTGTGGGGGCTGCGGCTGGACCCCGACTCTGCGGATGCTATTGCTTGCCACACCTCCGTGCGGGAGGAGTTCGTGGGGAAGCCACTGATCCAGGCCCTTGATGCCGGCGTCAGCTTCTGCAGTACCCACCACAGGACCACCGATGTGGCCATGCTGGTCACCATGTTTGGCTGGTTCGCCATGGTGATCGCCTACGTTGTATACTACGTGCGCCAGAACCAGGAGGATGCCAGGAGGCACCTGGAGTACCTGAAGTCCCTGCCCAGCACGCCCATCTCCAAGGACCCCATCAGCCCAGCGCCCTAGTGCCCTCCAGCACCCTGGGCACCACCTCCCGAGTCTTCAGGCAAACCCACATCCCAGCTGGCTCCACCACTTTCACTTTTGTAGCAGGTCGTGACTTGTGTTTTTTGCTATTCCCCCAATGAAGTGGTTGGTGATGACCATTATTCCTTTTGTGAAGTGCGTTATTCTTATAAAGCACCTTCATATACGACATCTAGTCATTGCAACATCCTTGAAGTCAGGTAATTTACCATCAGACCCATTTGATGGATGAGGGGCCTGAAGCTTAGAGACACTGATGGGCTTCCGTATGATAACACAGGAACTGATCCAGTTGGGTCATCTGTCAAGGAATTCCGTGTTCTTTCTACTCTGCAAGCCTCTTCCACGTGGTGTCCAGAGGATGTTAACATGTACTCAGACAAGAAAGAGTGTATGCCCCATAAGTGCAAGAGTGTCCCCCGTGGAGATTTGCAGTACAGATTCATCTGTTAAAGACACTGATAAGTCCTGCAGGGAGGAACTGGTTAATGTTTGTTTACCTAGTATTTCCTAACTATATTTGACCCCAGAACCTTCTTTCCAGAGCAAAGTAATAGAATCTCGTTACCAGTTTGGGAAATGCTATACCAGACCTGGGTTTCTAGAGAGGTGAGTAAAATGTATAACAAACT